ACAGAGCCCGACGCGGGGCTCGAACCCACGAACTGCGAGATCATGACCTAAGCGAAAGTCGGACGCTTAACCGACTAAGCCACCCAGGCGCCCCTGAGCATCTTGACTCTTGATTTCAGCTCAGATCATGATCTCACGCTTGTGAGATCGAGCCCCGCATCAGGCTCTGCCCTGACAGCATGGATCCTGCTTGGGATTCTCTCTCCCTGTCCGCCCGTCCCCTGCCCACGTGTGCATCTCTCTCTCTCTCAAAACAACTAAACCTAAAAAAAAAAAAAAAAAAAAAACCCATCTAGCCACTTTTAGACTTCCCGTTCACTCCCTGAAGTGCTGCAATCTAACTTCCAACCCAGCCACCCTGGAGTATTTTCCCCATGAAGTCGCCCAGGCCTGCCTGCTCGTTAGGACTTCCTCAGTGCACCCCTGCGGCCCTTGGCACCGTGGTCCCGTCTCCTCCCCCACCCTCCCCCACTCCGCCGTACCCCAGGGGTGATTCTTTCTTAAGTATTCTCCTCACTTATTAGATGCTACAGTACCCCACAAGCCACCCCCTATCCCAAACTCCAGGCCGTCTCCCAAGGCACTTTCTGAGTCATCTATCTGCTGGTCACTACCAAATCTGCTTGTCTGGCCCAGACTTCTCCCGCACTTCACACAGGTACGATCAACAGCCTATTCCACATCTCCATCTATGTCCACAGGAACCTAGACATTCCATTCAGCAACCACTCCCCTCTGGGAGAATCCACTCCCTAAACTCACACATCCACACTGCTCTCTGTGTACCAAAGACTCCAACCCTCATCCCAGACTCAGCTCATCAGGTGGAAAGGTGACCCAGACCAATCAGATTTCCTCTCCCAAGAAATGAAATTGAGATCCAGCTGCCCAGTTGGACACCTAAACTACGAAATCATACACTGCCAAGATCATGTGCAAGAAAAAGGGAGAAAGCCAGTCAGCAGGGAGGCAAGAATGGAGGAGACAGCGCCGCTCAGGGAGAAAAACCGAGTAACCACCTCGGTCCTGATGACTTGGTATCTGGATTATGTTCGTCCTTACATTCTTTGAGATACCATCATATTCCTCCCATACATTTTTCCCCCTACTAAGTTATTTTCAGTGGATTTCTATACTTGTGATTAAATGGCCCCTAAAATATTCTTCTGTGTGCTACAAGAAAGGGAAAAAATACCGCACTAACTAGGTCATGCCACCAAGATGTATCCTGGCTTCAGAAATAGTAAAAATTAGGGGCGCCTGGGTGGCTTAGTCGGTTAAGCGTTCGACTTTCGCTTAGGTCATGATCTTGTGGTTCGTGAGTTCGAACCCCGCGTCGGGCTCTGTGCTGACTGCCAGCTCAGAGCCTGGAGCCTATTTCAGAGTCTGTGACTCCCTCTCTCTCTGACCCTCCCCTGCTCACGCTGTCTCTCTCTCTCTCTCTCCTAGAAATAAATAAAAATATTTAAAAAAAAGAAATAGTAAAAATTAGGAACCTGTGTGACTTAGAATCAGTGGAATCCAGTGTACGCACTCCATGTATCCCCTTCCACCCACCCAGAATACCCTTCTTGTTTGCCACCAACCCTAATTCTATCCATCCTTGGAGACCAACCCCCAGCCAACTCCCAGCCCCAGCAGGATTCCTGAATGTAAGAACTGCGTTACCACAATAGTTACTGTAACGATAGTTAGTTACCTTCTAATTGTTGAAGTCTTGTCCCTCCAACAAGAGTATAAGGATGGCGTGGACTTTCCCTTATAATGTTTCACACGCTACCCAGAGCCTTTACAAATAGCCACTACAATATTCATTTAACTTGGGGGAAAAAAGGATGTGTTTAAAAGGTGGCAATATTCAGTTTTCTACTGAGCCCAAGAAAGGAGAGAAAATGACAAATAATTTAATACATTAAAGAAAGACCATTATAACCTTTTGTTTTTTAAATGAGGGGAAAAAATTACATTGTAACCAAACAGAATTAAGGAAAATACACATTTGTAGGTGCTCAATACAATTAGTTGCCAGGAAACAAAATGAAAACCACAATGAAACTATGTAGCCACCAGAATTGCCAAAATTAAGAGGACTGATAACGAATGCTGACAAGGAAGCAAGGCCACCGGCGCCTCACACACCGCAGGTGCATGCACCAGAACAAGGCCCACGTGTGAGCAGACCCCAGCACGTGAGTGCACGTGCACACCAGCAACGTGAGACACACCCATGAGAACAGAATGCATCAGCTACAGGGTAGAGGAGGAATGGATTCCCCCTCTCAGACAGAATGCGGACCCAAAGAAGCCAAATCCAGAAAACAGGAACAAACTGTATGTGACTCCACTCACACCAAGTTCAACAAGCAAAACTCGTCTACAGTAACAGAGATCGAACAGCACTGCTCTTTGGGAGAAGGGACACTGAAGGGAAGGGGCAGGACAGAGCCTGTGGAATGCTGGGAATGCTATGTGATGGGGGTGGGGGTGGGCACAAGGGTGCAGGCGGACGTAACAGTCCTTCAAGCTGAACCTTGATTCCCCACCCAGATTCCAGGCCCGTGCACCCACCCATCCCCCAGCAGCCATGTGTCACCTGCTGCAGGCTCCTAACTGCTACCCTCGGCGTGACTGCCCTCAGCAGAGGGGCCGGCAGTGCCACAGTCCCGCCCGCACACCAGGGGCAGCCTGCAGCCAATGACCACCTGATACGGGAGGCTTACAGAATTCTAGGGCCCTTAACTCAAGACGGGAGCAGCCCTGGGATGCCGGCCATGCTCCTGAGTTGTCCGTGGGCCTGAGACAGACTCCAAGCAAGACCATTCCCCTGCCCTCTCCTTTTCCCTCCTCCAGTCCACTTGCACCGAGTCCCCTCCTCAAGCCCTTCTAGGGATATGACCTAAGACACACACATTTGACGTCTAATCTGTACCCCAATCAAAAAGGAAATGGTTTGGGGCACCTGGGTGGCTCAGTTGGTTAAGCATCTGACTTCGACTCAGGCCATGATCTCACGGTTCGTGGGTTCGAGCCCCGCGTCGGGCTCTGTGCTGACTGCCAGCTCAGAGCCTGGAGCCTGTTTCCAATTCTGTGTCTCCCTCTCTCTCTGACCCTCCTCTGCTCACGCTGTCTCTCCCTCTCTCAGAAATATATAAAACATTAAAAAAAAGAAAAAGGTTTTGTACAGCTAAGAAGCAGGATGTGCAATGTCCCCCCCACCCCCACCCCCCGAGATCCTGACCACTAGATAGGCACCTTCCTCGGGCTGGAGCTGTGTTGGTGGTTGAGAAGTCAGGGGCAGGGCACTGGGGCACGCCTGTCTGTAAGAGAAATAAGGTCCCCGCAGAAAAGTGACACGGATTGTGAGGTGGTGACCTGCCACCAGCTTGCTGTGTATGTACGACCACCCATGTGCTCTCCGCCTCACCTGTGCGCCAGGTCTGGTAGCTTCCACCTCACTGTGCGCCAGGTCTGGTCCTGAGGTTCCCCAAGGCCTCTTCTACCCTCCTCCATCTCACCTGTATTTCCATGAAAGCCCAGGCCACCGAATGTCACCCCTGCCAGCCCCGCCACAGGTACACAGTGCCTGGTTCTAACACCTACCTCTGCAGCCAGCCCCCGTCAACCAATCAGGGCCATGCAGAACTCACAGCCTGAGAATCACCAGCACACTTTCTACCAAATGCTTACTGGGTCTCCTTCCTCCACCCTAGGAGGCCATCATACACATGCCCCAGAGCACAATTTTCTTTATGTGGTTTTGAAATCTTTTTTAATGTTTACACATTTTTTAGAGAGAGAGAGAGAGACAGAGCGTGAGCAGGGGAGGGGCAGAGAGAGCAGAAGACAGAATCTGAAGCAGCTCCAGGCTCTGAGCTGTCAGGGAAGAGCCGACTCGGGGCTTGAACTCACAAACCGTGAGATTTGACTTGGATTTAGGGTTATGTGCCAACCCACCTATTTAAGTGTAACATACACACTATACTCCAAGAAACAAAAACAGTACGCAAAGTATTTAAAAGACATTTTAGGGGCGCCTGGGTGGCTCCGTCATCAAGCGTCCCACTCCTGATTTAGGCTCAGGTCATTATCTCACAGTTGGTGAGATCAAGCCCCGGGGTGCTGGGCTCTGTGCTGACAGGGCGGAGCCTGCTTGGGATTGACTCATTCTCTCTCTCTCTCTCTCTCTCCCCCCCCAACTCTTCCCCCCAATAAACATTAAAAATACTTAAAAATAAACAAATAAAGTAAAAAATAAAAGATATTTCTAAAATTTTTTAGTAAACTATCAACTAATTCAATTCACTTAAACTCTTCAAACACTTCAAGCATGGAGGCCACACTTTTATTTTGAACCTTTAAAACCCAAACACACAGAAAAGGGACGGGGAAGCCGAGGAGAAATGGTGGAACCGAGGGCGAAGCAGCGCCGGCACCTAACTATCCGTCAGCAGTTCCGCCGGGCCAGCAGGCGCGGGTCACCAGGGGCAGCGGGGCGGCCGGCGCCTGCGCCCCGGTTCTAAACAATGACAAGAACGCTACGACCAACGGTCCCAGAGCGTCCCCAGCGCCGCTTCCAGAAAGTGGGCGAAGGAGAGTCCGCACGGCCTCGCACCCCACACGTGGCGGCGAGGAGCTGCGCCCGGAGATCCGGGGTCGCTGGCAGCACGGACGCGTCCCGTCCGCTTCCTACCGCAGGAGCCGCCCGTACGCGGGTGCCGAAAGCGGCCACTACCAGGAGTCAAGGGTGACAGCGCATCGGAAAGAAACGCGACGTCCTTGCCCGAGCCGTGTCACCACCGGAATTCGGAGGGCGGCCCGCCTGCAGCACCCTCGCAGCGTCCGCGACCCGCAACGCCCCTTCCCCACCCCGGCCGCGCCAGAGCGTCGGAAGCAGGTGGCCGCGCAGCGGGCCGGCCCCGCGGCCCCCGGGGGCCCGGACCCCCGACGCAGGCCGCTCGCCCCGGAGGCCGGGACGCCGCAGACGCACAGGCCGCTCTTACCTTCCTACTGGCGCCTCCGAGGGACACCTTGGGCCTCGTTTTGAAATCCCCTTCGAAACTAAACATCTTTACAGCTTATCCCATCTGGGAGGAGCCCCCGACCCTGAGAGCTGAGGGGCGGGCGGGGCGGGCTCCCGGGGGGAGGGGCCTCCTACGGGGAGGGGTCTCCCGCGGGGAGGGGTCTCCTGAGAGGAGGGGTCTCCTGCGGGGGGGACTACACCGCCGCGGGGAGCGACCCCGAGCCCGCCCTGGGGGCTCTGCCCGCCCGGCCTGCCCTCGGGCGGGGGAGGCGGCGACTCTGGGAGGGCGGCTCCTCCTCACCTCCCCCCTCATCCACGCCTCCCCACTGGTCCGGCCGAGGCCGAGGGCGCCGGCAGGGCCGCGGACCCCGCACTTGCACCGGGAGCAGCCGCCGGGAGGAAAGATGGCCGCCGGCCGGGGCTGGCGTGCGCGGCCCCGCCAGCGCGCGCGCGCCCGACGCCGACGCCGCGGCGTTTCCCGGACCCGCCGCCAGCGCGCGCGCGCCCGACGCCGACGCCGCGGCGCTCTCCGGAGCCCGGCAGCGTGCGCGCGCCCGTCGCTGGTGCGCTGGAGCGTGGGAAGGCCCCGCGGTGACCTGTCTCTGCGGCCGGGCGCGCAGGGGCGGGGCCGCCGGAGCCGCGCCGAGGGGTCCCACGCCGGAAGCGCTCCCGGGGCAGGTGCAGGGGGCGGGGGGCGTCCGCGCGCCGCGCTGGTGCCTGTGCGCCTTGCCGGGAGGCGGCCGCTGGCGTTCGGTCTGAGGCCGGCCTTGACCGATGTGACCCCGACACGGTCGGCTTCGTGGGATGTTTAAAGCCCATGCAGCGTGCACACGTTTCAGGGGGTGACCAAGGTCACGCGCGTCCTTCGTGCGTGTGTACGCATCCGTGTAAGTACGTACCCCGCACGTGCCGTGTGTACACGTACGTACACGTATTCACCTGTCGCCTTCGCGAGTCTATGACCACATCCGTAGAGTAAATCTAATGCTGTAACACGAACGAAGCCGAAACGCCGCAAGCCAGTGTTACCATGACCGTGGAATGTGGGGTTCATGTTGACGCGGGCTGCAGAGCGCTCGGTGCGCGTCACGACCCACGAACGGGCTTCGATATCGGCTTGAGACGCGCAGCGCGAACGAGGTCACCGCGCGGTGTGCGTTTGTGCTGAGTGAGGGTCGGAGGCCGCCGCAAGGGCGCTCACCGTTTACCAGCGACTCCGTCGGAAATCCCTGGTGCATCACAAAGATTCAGCTTTTACCACTTGAAATGTTCTGGGTTTTGGAAACAAAACATCCGTTTTTGGTTTAACCCGTCAGCGGAGCGAAAATCGGAAGCGCTGGTGACATCGGCTGTGCGCCGCCGGCGAGGGTAACGTCCTCCGAGCCTGGCCGGGAGCGAGGCGCCGACCAGCCCGGCGACGCGGCCACCAAGCCCGGCCGCCCAGCGCCACCCTGGTTGGGGCCTCCACCCGCTGGGTGTCTCTCGTGTGTTCCGGTTGGCGAGAGCGCGCAGGGCGGCGGGGGCCCGGCCGAGGCCGCGCCGCTGCTGCCCGCCGGGCTCGGGCCCTGCCCCGCGCCGGAGGGAAACACGGCCTGTCGAAATGTGCGTCCTCTGAGAGACTTTCAAGGACTTTTCACTTTTTTTTTTATTTTTGAGAGAGTCCGAAGCAGGCTCCACGCTCAGCGCAGAGCCCGATGCTGGGATCAGGACCTGGGCCAAAATCAAGAGTCGGATGCTCAACCGATTGAGCCACCCAGGCGCCCCTGAACAATTTTTTTTAATTTTTTTTTATTTCTAGGAGAGAGAGAGACAGCGCGAGCAGGGGAGGGTCAGAGAGAGAGGGAGTCACAGACTGAAGCAGGCTCCAGGCTCTGAGCTGGCAGTCAGCACAGAGCCCGACGCGGGGCTCTAACCCTCGAACCGCTAGATCATGACCTGAGCTTAAGTTGGACTCTTAACCGACTAAGCCACCCAGGCGCCCCTCCTGGGTTATACTAAAGTCAACAACTTCTTTTATTTTTTTAAAAAAATTTTTTAATGTTTTATTCATTTCTGAGAGAGAGAGAGCATGAGCAAGAGAGGGTCAGAGAGAGAGAGAGACAGAATCTGAGAGAGAGACAGAATCTGAGAGAGAGAGACAGACAGACAGACAGAATCTGAAACAGGCTCCAGGCTCTGAGCCGGCAGTCAGCACAGAGCCCGACGCGGGGCTCGAACCCACGAACCGCGAGATCATGACCTAAGCGAAAGTCGGGCGCTTAACCGACTAAGCCACCCAGGCGCCCCAGAACACTTTTTAAAAAATACATTTTAAGTAGAAAATGTCACGCCTACTGCAGAGTACAAAGTGGTATAAACAGTTCCTGTTCTCCGTCACCAGTGAGCGTCACCTCATGGCCACCCGTGTGATTCATTCCCCATCCATTAACCACTCTCCCCATTATTGTGAAGCGCATTCCAGACAAAATTTCATCTGTAAATATGTCAGTATGTATCTCTTAAGGAGGAGGGGCGACTTTTAAAACATCATATCATTATCACCCTACAAAATTTAACAATAATTTTCGAGGATAAACTGGACCGGAAAGATCCCCAGCATCTGTGCTGAGCCCAGGACCTGGTGCCTGAGACACATGATTCCGGTACCTTCTTGTGAGCGGTCCTACTTTCTCTTCTAGACTGAACCTCTTTGAGAGCAAAGGGGCCAGTTAGGTCACTTGGGGGCCTAGTGTAGTGTCATGTAATAGCCCCCCAAATATTTGTGCATTAAATCTATGGTTACCAAAAAGCAGTGGAAAGAGGTAGGTTAATATCACATATCTGTTACACAGCTACCTGCAAAATATTTTTAAAAATATATTTTTAATGTTTATTTTTGAGAAGCAGAGAAAGAGCACAAGCAAGGGAGGGGCAGAGAGAGAGGGAAACAGAATCGGAAGCAGCTCCAGGCTCTGAGCTGTCAGCACAGAGCCCAACGCGGGACCTGAACCCACAGACGGTGAGATTCGTGACTTGAGCTGAGGTCAGACGCTCAACCGACTGAGCCACCCGGGCGCCCCTAACATGCAAAATATTGACACCACCAGATGCTGGCAAGGAGGCAGAGAGACCCGACCTCCCATACAGAAAATGTTACAGGCATTCTGGGAAAGAGTTCGGCCATTGCTTTTTTATTTTATTATTTATTTGTTTATTAAGTTATTTATTTATTTTTTTTTAAATTTTTTTAATGATTTATTTATTTCTGAGAGAGAGAGAGAGAGGCAGCATGAGCACGGGAAGGTCAGAGAGAGAGAGGGAGAAACAGCATCCGAAGCAGGCTCCAGGCTCTGAGCTGTCAGCACAGAGCCCAACACGGGGCTCGAACCCACAAACTGTGAGATCATGACCTGAGCTCAAGTCGGACGCTTAACCGACTGAGCCACCCAGGCGCCCCAATTTATTTTTTAAACTTAGAGAGAGTCTCAAGCAGGCTGCATGCTCAGCACGGAGCCCAAACAGGGCTCGATCTCATAACCATGAGATCATGACCTGAGCCAAAATCAAGAGTGGGTCACTCAGCCAACTGAGCCCCCCAGGCGCCTTGATCATTTCTTTAAAAAAAAAAAAAAAGCAGAACGCTTGCATTCCTGCACATTTATCCCAGGAAATCAAAATGTATGTCCCTGTGACATGTATACATAAATGTTCACGTCAGCTTTTTCTATCAACCAAATCTGGAAATCACCAAAATATCCTGCACAGAGCAGTGGTCAGAGCAGCAGTGGTGCGTCTACACCCTGGATGTGATCGCAGTGATGACGGAACTTCCTGCCCCACACAGCGCCTCCAGCTCCCGAGGCAGTGCAGACTGGAAAGGCCGCCCCCGGAGGTCACACACATACTGGGTGATTCCGTTTATTTGGCAAAATGACAAAATCGTGGAGACAGAGGCTGGGTTCGTAGCAGTGAGAGTTAGGGATGGGAAGGGGGGGGACCGCCCCGGGGCAGCAGGAGGGAGTCTGGTGGCGATGGGCTCTGCGTCTCGGTTTTTGGTGGTCACATGGTTTTGATGGTCACATGTGATAAGATGAGCACGCACGGCACCAGTGTGAGCACTAGGTTCGGATATTGTGCTGTAATTACGTCAGATGCACCTGGGAAGGGAGTTGGGTTCAGGGTATATAGGCCACCTCTGTACTAGTTTTGCAACTTCTTGTGAATCTATCTCAAAATAGAATTCTTTAAAAAAATTTTTTTTAATGTTTGTTTACTTTTGAAAGAGAGAGACAGAGCGAGGGCTGGGAAGGGACAGAGAGAGAGAGGGAGACACAGAATCTGAAGCAGGCTCCAGGCTCCGAGCTGTCAGCACAGAGCCTGATGCGGGGCTCAAACCCATGAACCGTGAGATCATGACCCACGCCAAAGTCAGATGCTTAACTGACTGAGGCACCCAGGCGCCCCTCAAAATAGAATTCTTTTTTTAAAAAATAGAATTCTTAAGTATAGCCTAAAACAATAAAACACTTGTGTGACAAAAAACGATCAGTGAGGTTTTCTAATGTTTGCAAAAGCCCTGGATGTCTTATACTCGATCAGAAAACGTGTGTTTCTCCCAATCTCTCCTTCTATTCTGTTCCACATGAATCTAACATAAGATATGTAATATATTTTCAAGCTGTTGTTTTGGGAAGCTTGTGAGGCCTTTGCAGTTTATCTGAAGATCTTAGCGGGAAATCACAGATTGTCTCAGAAGCCCTTCTGCAGCCTGCAGAAGAAGAGAAAGAAAGACCTCCTCCACCAGGAAGCCACCAGGCGCTTTCTTCCCTCGCACACACTTTCCTGTCTCGGTTACCTCACAATTCAAACATTTGGTACCAATCGGTTTTCTCTTTATTGTAAGGATTTGTTTTTTAGAATAGTCACGGGGCGCCTGGGTGGCTTAGTCGGTTAAGCGTCCGACTTTCGCTTAGGTCATGATCTCGCGGTTCGTGGGTTCGAGCCCCGCGTCGGGCTCTGTGCTGACTGCCAGCTCAGAGCCTGGAGCCTGTTTCAGTCTGTGACTNTCTGTGCTGACTGCCAGCTCAGAGCCTGGAGCCTGTTTCAGTCTGTGACTCCCTCTCTCTCTGACCCTCCCCTGCTCACGCTGTCTCTCTCTCCCCCTCCTAGAAATAAAAAATAAAAAAAAAAAATAGAATAGTCACACGTGTTAATTCTATTTTAAAAAATCAAAACAGTAGCGACGCAAGCAAAGGAATAAGTGAAACGTGCCATCTGCCCACGCTGCCCTCCTCCTCCTGGGCGCCCCTCCCGCTCAGCCTCCTCACTGAGGACCGAGCGGCTTAAACAACACAGATGTATCACCTCACCGTTCTGGAGTCCAGCGTCTGCGGAGCCAGAATCTAAGTGTCCACAGGGCTGGTCCCTTCTGGAGGCTCCAGGGGAGAA